GACAGGGCCTGTTCTGGGCTCACAAGCAGCTGTAGGGATCTGGTGATTGGAGTGCTCTCCTGTGGCTGCAGAGTCTTCCTCTGGTTGTGCACATGGCAGTAGAGGCTGATGACAGGGATTGGACTGGAAGGGTACAGGTGCATAGCTGGAGGGGCTAGCCCTGAGCAAGTGCATGGTGGTGGGTGTCAGCCATAGGGGTCTAGGCTGGCATCTTGCACTCACACAGCCACAGTCTTGGACTGGCTGCTCGTGTGGTTCCTGGGCTCCGGTGGTGGTGGTGTTGGGGAGAAGGATTTGGGAGGGACTTAGGCAGCTGGTGTAAGCCAACAGGAATACCCGTGGGGCAAAAGCTTGTGAAATCTGCAGGGGGGTCTTTGGTGGTTATGCTGGCCATTATTTTCTTCAGTGGCAAAACCCGCTGGGGTCATCTCTGAAGTGTGTCACTGGGAACCACAGTGGCTCATGCTCTGTGGTTGATATTGGTAACCCCTACTTTTCTTCCCTATTCGTAGCCTTCTTAAATGTCTCAGCTTTGCCTGTCTCTGGGTAGGTGAAACCTAAGCAGATCCTTTATGCAGTGCAAGGAAAGGCTGGGTAAGCTGGTTTTTCACTCCCCTCTTCCTTTCCCAGCCATAGGAACTCTTTCTAGCTGGGGAGTTCCCTCCATGCTGAGCAATGCTGGTTTGGGAGATAGGATGATGCAGGCAAAATGAAGCTGTTCTTCCTTCCATTTTTGTGCAGTTATTCTCAAGTTTTTTATTCTGGTGTGTTGCTGAAGTTTTCTAAGTGGACTCCAGAGCTCTCTCAGAGCTGTTTTTGTTTGTGGACAGCTGTTTAATTGTTGAACTTTGCTGGGGGACGGAGGCTGGGATCTCCTACTCTGTCATCTTGGTGATGTCCTTAAACTCTTGGCCATGTACTCTGAGATACATGAACAAGAATTTTCATACCAGTTTTGTTTGTAATAGTCCCCAAATTGGAGATCCTAAATATCTGTCAAGAGTAGAGTAGATAAATAATTTATGGTCTATTCATACAATGGAAAATTATACCATAATGAAAATGTTTAAAATCTAGCTACTCATAAGGGCACTAATCTTTCAAACATAATCTTGACTGAAAGAAGCGGGTCATAAATACATGGAGTATTTTCATTTATAATAAGTTAAAATCTTGGAAAACTTAACTATGTTGGTTAAGGATACTAACAAAGGTGGAAAAGATAGAAAGATGAGAAAAAAATAGGATAGTAGGCACCTGTAGGATGAAGGAAATGGTTGTGAATGGGGAGAGACACAGAGAGAGCTTCTAGGATATTGGCAATCTCAGGTGTCCAATTGTTGATCTTCAGTGGTAGTTGTGTGGATGTTTGCTCTGTAATTATTCATTAAACTGTAAATATATTTTTGTATATGTTTCAGTAAGTATGATATAGCTCATGATTATAAAATATAAAAGAATATTAAGGGAATTTATTTATATTGGGACTTTTAAAGAATGAAATAAAGGCCAAAAACTATAAAACAAAAACATCGATAGGTTTGACTAAGTATAAAAACTCTGTACATTTGAAACAGTACATAAATATCAGTAAGTAAACAATTAATAGCAGACTAGGAGAAGATATTTCTTACACATTATATGCTCATATTAATTGGCCCCTACAAATGAATAATAAGGCAAACAATTCAAGAGAAAAATGGACAAACAATGGAACAGGCATTTCACAGAAGAAGAAATAAAAGTGTGCAGAAACAAATGAAATGATGCTGACCCGACTAGTGATCAGGGAAATGCAAGTTAAAATAATGAGAAAGAATATCTTACTTATAAGACGTATTGAAGTCAAACATTAATAACAACTAGTGTTGGTGACAATGTGGAGAAAAGAACTCTGTTATACTTGGTTGGTTTGAATGAAAATTGTTCACAAATTTATGGAGCTCATTCTGATATTATCTATCAAAAATAGAAATGTGCATACCTTAACACCCAACAACTTTATTTTTAGGAATCTGCCTCAACAAAGATACTGGCTTGAATGTATAAGTAGGTTTTTTTTGTGTGTGAGGAACATCAGCCCTGAGCTAACATCCATGCTAATCCTCCTCTTTTTGCTGAGGAAGACTGGCTCTGAGCTAACATCTATTGCCAATCCTCCTCGTTTTTCTCCCCAAAGCCCCAGTAGATAGTTGTACATCATAGTTGCACATCCTTCTAGTTGCTGTATGTGGGATGCGGCCTCAGCACGACCAGAGAAACGGCGCGTTGATGCGCACCCGGGAGCCAAACCCGGGCCGCCAGTAGCAGAGCGCGCGCACTTAACCGCTAAGCCATGGGGCTGGCCCTGTATAAGCAGTTTTAATGGCCATATAATACTCATTTTATGGTTATACCATAATTTATTTATTATTCTTCCATTGAGGTTCATATAGATAATTTCTATATTTCTGTTTCCACAAACAGTACTACAGTTAGCATATTTGTAAAAGCAAAAACATGGTAACACCATGCAGTTTTAGGACTGGCTAAATGAATTATGGTACATTCATAGCAATGGAATACTATGTAGTTTTTTTTTTTTTTGGTGAGGAAGAGTGGCCCTGAGCTAACATCTGTTGCCAATCCTTCTCTTTCTCCTTGAGAAACATTAGCTCTGAGCTAACATCTGTGCCAGTCTTCCTCTATTTTGTATGTGGGTCACCGCCACAGCATGGCCCAATGAGTGGTGTAGGTCTATGCCCGGGATCCGAACCCGTGAACCTGGACCACCGAAGCAGAGCTCATGAACTTAACCACTATGCCACTGGGCCGGCCCCACTATGTAGCTTTTAAAAAGAATAAGATAATTTTACATCAAATGCTTAGATACATTTTCATTGACATTTAAAGTAATAAAGCAAAATAAAAGCACTTTGTGTACATTTCTATCCAGTTTTGTAATCCATCTATATGCATGCATCCTAGATGCTGGCTGTTTCTTAGACCTCTTCTGAAGAGGAAAAAACTGTCCATTGATAAATAATATGCATTCATTATTAATAATTTTTATCAATTAATTATTAAAATACTGCAGCTTTTATAAGGGAGAGAAAAGAGCTCCTCCTCCCCCCACAATACACAGCAAACAACTAAATCTCCCTTTACCATATCAGCTACTTCAAAATTACATTATAGGCCACCTTGCCAACCAGGGGTGCTCTTTTCAGGAAGAGGGTCTTCACCAGAACACTTCAGTAATACATGGATTTCCTGATGTCTTTTCTTCTGTTTTTAAATTATTCATAATGAGAACTTGAATGTATTCTCTAAGCTGTTGCACCTGGTAATGGAAGTGTAATGTTCATATCTATACATTCTATGATACTGAGTTAAAATTCCTAAATTAGTAGAGTCGTAGGTAGGGGCCTGTCCTTGTCAATTCGGGCTCTTATAACAAATTACCATAAACTGAGTGGCTTAAACAGCAGAAATTTATTTTTCACAGTTATGGAGACTGGGAATTCTGAGATCAGGGTTCCAGCATGGTCAAGTTTGGGTGAGAGCCTTCCTGGTTTGCCAATGGACATGTTCCTGCTGTGTCTTCAAATGATAGAGAGCAGAGAGAAAAGAAGCAAACTCTCGTGTCTCGTGTGCCTCATGATCCAATTACCTCTCAAAGACCTCATCTCCAAATACCATCATGTTGTAGATTAGGGTTTCAATGTATGAATTTTGGGGGACCACAAACATTCAGTCCATAGCAAGGCCTTTCCTCCTTCCTGGGAACAGTATTTTGAAATTGTGACAGGAATAACTATTGATATTCTTTATAATCCTTTACTATATCCAGGGCATAATTTTAAATCATGTCCTATGCTATTATCAGATTAATCTTAAAATATTGTTTATTACACCATATTGCTGTTTTATGCAAGCACTTTAAATTACTCTCTCTTGCCTATAAAAAATTCTAAATTTGATTCTTCTAAAGCTGGCTTCTCCCAGTATACCCTTTGAATCTTTAAGGAGTTTTGACCCTCCCAAAGCAAAACCTCTGGTGTACTTGGTTTCTTGATGTACTTGATTCATTTGGTGCCCTTGATATATGTTGCACATTTCTACTTTTCTTGTCTTTGCTTAGTGATGTTTTCCTTTCCTTTTTTCTTTCTAATGACAGTCTATCCAGTCTATCCAGAAGAGAAAGGAGGACAGACATCCTCCTTTCTCTCCTCAGCTCCTAAACATTTATTATATTTTCCATCCACTCTTTTGGCATGTGGAATAGAAAAAATATAATTGATATTTAGGAACTGTGGTATGCTTCCATGTTATTTAACTTTTTCTATGTACATGTCATGTTTTGTTTATCTAGCAGCAAACTTAGTGCAGGGACTGTCTTCTCTCATGTACTTTTTGTGTTACAAGATTGAAGACTCTTATGTTATTACCTTAAGAGTTCATTGATTGTTATGGATCCTTATTATGATGGTTCTCTTTTAAGTAGCATCTTAGGTAACCTTTTGGGTTATTTGATTCAGTTGGAAAACTTAACAGGGATGTTAGATTCTTCCCATAGACCTTGTTGACTTAGGAGCAGCAACCAATGCAGTTTTCTCCTGGCATCCCGGAGTCCTCTTATATGCAGTCTCATAAAGAGGTCATGCACACTGGACCTCAGCCCAGTTTTGTCACTTACTAGATGCATAGTTTTGATCAAGTTATATAATGTCTTTTAGCCTCAATTTCTCAATTTGAACATGGTGACAGTATCTTCTTTTTTGGATTATTTTGAGGATTAAGAGAATGTAAAGTAGCATAGTGACTTGCACATAGTTGGTATTTAATAAAATGCTAACTATTCTTGTAAACATTGTGTTCCTTCAGTGTTCATGTGACCCTGCTGTCTCCTCTTTATGCTTGTCTAGTTCTCACACATATAGCAGTGAGTTATATCAGCATACAGGTATAGCTTCAGCCATTTATAATACCTTTAAATGTTTTTCTTTTTTTCTCAATAGAAACTTCTTATTCACTGCCTAATCAATTTAATGTCATGTTGAAAATATTTGAAAAACAGTCAAATACATTGGAGAGGTAAGCTTTTAAAATGACTTTTTTTATTAATTATAAAAATGAGTACACATTTACTTTAGAAAAATTAGAAACAGAGAGAAGAAAATAAGACCACTGTTAAAAAAATTTAGTGTTCTTATATCAATTTGTATGATATGTATAGCTTTAAAAATTAAAATTATAATCATGCAGACTGTAAAATAATATAGCTGCAATGGAAAACAGTATGTCAGTTTCTCAAAAAGTTAAAAACACAATTATTATATGAACCAGCAATTCCATTTCTGGATATATTCCCCCCAAAATAGAAATCAGGTTCTTAAACACGTATGTTCACTGTAGCATTATACACAATAGCAAAGAGGTGGAAGCAACCCAGTGTCTAACAATGGATGAATGGATAAAGAAGGTATGATATATACATACAATGGAATATTATTCAGTCTTAAAAAGGAAGGAAATTCTGACATATGCTACAACATGAATGAGCCTTGAGGACATTATGCTGAGTAAAATAAGCCAGTCACAAAAAAACAAAATTGTATGATTTCACTTATATGAAGTACCTAGAGTAGTCAAATTCATAGAGACAGAAAGTAGAATGGTGATTTCCAGGGCCTGGGGAGAATGGGGAATGAGGACTGTTGTTTAATGGGTATAGAGTTTCAGTTTTGAAAGATGAAAAGAGTTCTGGAGATTGGTTCTAAAACAAAGTGAATGTACTTAACACTGCTAAACTGTACACTTAAAAATGGTTACAATGGTAAATTTTGTTATGTGTATTCTACCAAAACTTTAAAAAAGTAAAAAAAAAATTACAATTTTACAAAATGTAGTTTGTGTATATACTTTTCACTTAGTTATAATTTTTTGCAAACTCATATAATTCTTTTTTTAAATAAATATTTTAAATTAAAGTAAAACATATATTCAGAAAAGTTCACATCACACAGTGTTTTCAGAGAATTTTATTTAGATTCAACATTGGAAAATTAGGAAATTTTACATGATCAGAATTTCTAATTATCAAATCCAGTAATTAAGAATAAATAGAAGAGCGTAACAGATCAAATGTGAAGTAAAGGGAACTAAAGGCCTTATGGCTTGTATTAATTGGTGGTCAGGTCTTTGCTACGTAATGGAGTTAGGCCCTATTTCACTTTTTTCCCCTTCTACCTCATTAGAATCCTCCTTATCAGAAAGGTAGGGTCAGAACTTTCACAGCTTTGTCAGATGAAAGGTTTAACATGTTCTAGGAGCATTCTTGAAGTAGGAGGCCGGTTTCCATGAATATTCTTTCCATTGGACCAGGGTATTAAAGCAGACATCTATACTATTATTTATTCTAGCTTCTTATATTAGACTGTTGTTGCTAGTTATAACTGGTTTTAGAATTCCTAGGCATAACAGAAAGCAGTGAAGGACTAGCTGAAGGGGTTACTATAAAGGAGAGGATTTCCGACTTGAATTGTCATATAGCCAGAATAAGCTTTGTACAATTCTCTGGTCAGAATATGCTTTGTACATTTCTTTGCATGTCAAGAAGTATGTTGAAAGCCACCGTGGATGACCTACCATTCTTTCAGGTGATTAAGGTTATAGTTACCCAACTGGTATGTTGAAAAAGCATGTCTTATGAAATGAAATCACAAAGCAATTTTCTTTTGGATACCTTGTGTTCATTTATATTTTCTAATTGGGGCTAATTTTTCCCCTGCCCTGGATAAAAACTAGGGCAGTACCATGACTTTTCTGATCACTCTTAGATAATAATTAATTTACATTTAATTTATAATCACTGTCCTAAATGAGAAATCAACATTCCCTGTCAAATATTACAGTCAATATTTTAATTTTCATTAAAAGTTAAGACTTCTCTCCCCCTCCCCCCACCCCAGTATTCCAGCTGGAGCCTGCTGTGGGGATGTGGTTAGCTTTTCTCTTTCATTACCTCTTTTCCCACTAACTAGTTGTAGTTTTTGTCCTCCATGTGTTTGGGAAGGGAGGGAAGAAAGGTAAGGTATACAGGAAAGGTCTTACTCAGCAGTCACTATCTTTGCCATAACTGCAGATAACACACACCAAGTTTTCTGAGTATTCTTTTTCTTTTTTTGACTAAAATTTATTTTTTTTAATTAATCAATTTATTTTTTAATTTTTTGTTTATTGCAGTAACATTGGTTTATAACATTGTATAAATTTCAGGTGTACATCCTTTTTTTTTTTTTTTTTTTTTTTAAAGATTTTATTTATTTATTTTTTCCCCCCAAAGCCCCAGTAGATAGTTGTGTGTCATAGCTGCACATCCTTCTAGTTGCTGTATGTGGGACGCGGCCTCAGCATGGCCGGAGAAGCAGCGCGTCGGTGCGAGCCCGGGATCTGAACCCGGGTCGCCAGCAGTGGAGCGCGCTCACTCAACCACCAAGCCACGGGGCCGGCCCTCAGGTGTACATCCTTATACTTCTATTTCTGCATAGATTACATCATGTTCACCACCCAAATACTAATTACAACCCATCACCACACACATGTGCCGAATTATCCCTTTTGCCCTCTTCCCTCCCCCCTTCCCCTCTGGTAACCACCAATCCAATCTCTGTCTCTATGTGTTTGTATTTATCCAAAGAACTTGAAAACACAAGTGCATAAAGATACATGCACCCCTGTGTTCATTGCAGCGTTATTCACAGTAGCCAAGACTTGGAAGCAACCTAAGTGCCCATCAAGGGATGAATGGATAAAGAAGCTGTGGTATATATACACAATGGAATACTACTCAGCCATAAGAAACGATGAAATCCAGCCGTTTGTGACAACATGGATGGACATTGAGGGTATTATGCAAAGTGAAATAGAGGGAGAAGGTCAAATACTGTATGATTTCCTTCGTTAAGTAGTAGATAATAACAACAATAAACAAACACATGGAGACTGAGTATTCTTTTTAAAGTGTCTCTCTCTCTGGGCCGGCCCCGTGGCTTAGTGGTTAAGTGCGTGTGCTCCGCTGCTGGCGGCCCGGGTTCGGATCCCGCGTGCACACCGACGCACCGCTTCTCCGGCCATGCTGAGGCCGCGTCCCACATACAGCAACTAGAAAGATGTGCAGCTATGACATACAACTATCTACTGGGGCTTTGGGGGGGAAGAAAATAAATAAATAAAATCTTTAAAGTGTCTCTTTCTGGGCTTGAGATAAAGGCAAGCATATCCACCCCTCCTTTAAGGGTTTGGATAGGGCTCAAGCCACCAGACAGCTCTTTGCAAAGAAATACTCTGTCTTCTTTCCTGACCCTTTTATATTGTCCATATCAGTGAAAGGTTTTAGTGCTCTTTCTTGGCTGCCTACTTTTTTTTCAAGTGCTAATGGTCATATGCCTCACCTATTACTTTCATAGGTGATACTGGGGCTCAGGGTCTCAGTTGGTCCCTCTGTTTAACAACTTGTTACAGTTACATCCTTTAACATTCTGTTAAAATAAATACAGTGTTTGGCAAAAGTCTTAGTTGGTTTTAAGCTTTAATAACTTCAGAACTATAAAGATACAACTGTTCAAGAAACATCATTTCAAAATTTGATTATGGACATTTCTTTTCCACTTATTTAAAAATTTTTGAATAATAATTAAAAAAAAGTTTTTTCAGTTAAAACTTTTTGTTTGGGTCAGCATTTTCCATATTCCGTCAGATTGGCTGAAACATAATTAATTTACAGTCATGCATTACTTAACGACGGGGTTATATTCTGAGAAATGCATGGTTAGGCGATTTTGTTGTGCGAACATCATAGAGTGTATTTACACAAACCTGGATGTTACAACCTACTACACACCTAGGCTGTATGGTACTAATCTTATGGGACCACCGTCGTATATGTGGTCTGTTGTTGGCCAAAACATCATTATGAGGTGCATGACTGTATTCAAAATTCACAAAACTGAGGGGCCGGCCCCGTGGTGTAGCAGTTAAGTGTGCGCGCTCTACTACTGGCGGCCTGGGTTTGGATCCTGGGCACGCACTGATGCACCACTTGTCCGGCCATGCTGTGGTGGTATCCCATATAAAGTGGAGGAAGACGGGCACAGAGGTTAACCCAGGGTCAGTCTTCCTCAGCAAAAAGAGGAAGATTGGCATGGATGTTAGCTCAGGGCTGATCCTCCTCACCAAAAAAAAAAAAAACCAAAAAACAAAAAACTCACAAAATTCACAAAACTGAAGATGTAAAGGAAATGGAAATAATGTTTAATACATTTGTAGCTTTACACTTTTGAAGTCATTGAAGCTTAAAACTACACTAAAACTTTTACAACTTCACTAGAACTTTTAGATTGGATGTAGGATGGTTTGTGACGGCATAACACCTCTTTGGTGAACAGGGGCTGAGAGCTAGTGTCCAGTCTTGGGGATGTCAACATTGGTGACAACATTGCCCATCACCAGAATCATGTGTGATCCTGACAGGAAAGCAGGCCCATTAAGAAATCCATTATGATGTTTTTTTCTAAGGAGGCATAGGAGTCAGAAGTAAGGATAGTAGGCTGTCTTGTCTTTCCACCTGTTTTTTAGTCCAGGAACGTGTATAACAGGTAGTTATATTATGTCAAAGATGGAGTCATCCTGACTCCAACATGGTAAATTCAAAGTCTTGAATGAATTTCATTGGCCAGCTAGGGCACTGGCAAGGGCATTTGGCCAAAAAATAATAAGAAAGTCTTACTTCATAACATTCAAAAAACTAAATTTAGTGTTGATTACAGACCAAAATGTAAGAAATCAAAATCATAAATATATGGAAGGCATTTGGCTCTATCAACATTAGAAAGACCTTGTTAAAAAATGAACCAAGTTAAATGATAAACAATGGACTGGGAGAAAATATTTGTGCATATACAATAGAAGGAGTGATGATAATAATATATAATTCCATAAAAAAGGCAAAAAAACCTCAAAAAATAGGCAAAGTATATGTATAGATAATTTAAGGAAGAGACACAACAGTGGTCAATAAACATTTTAGGAGATGCTCAATCTGACTTGTGATCAGGGAAGTGCAAAGCAAAACAGCAACAATATATTTTTTCCCCTATCAGTTTAACAAAAAGTAAAAGTTTTCTAATATTAAGTCTTGACAGAGATGTAGTATATATAATGAATACTCTTAAAATGCTAGAACAATAGGAGTTGCCCACTTGCAAGGACAATTTAGCAGGGTTTATTTAATAATAACAACAAAAATGTATACCTTATTATACCCCTTTTATATCCACCCTAAAAAAAGCAAACCTCTTTTATCTACCCTAGAGAAAGAAAGATGCTCAAGCAGGCACATATCAAAAGAAATTTATTACATCAGTGTGACAATAGCAAAAAGGAGAAAGAATTTCAATTCCTGTTAGTAGGAGAATGGCTCAATAATCTATGGTAAAGAATTTTATGAGAATACTCTGAACGACTGTATGACAACGTTAGATAACTTACATGATATGGATAAATTCCTAGAAAATTACAAGCTAAACTGATTCAAGAGGAACTAGAACATCTGAGTGAAACTGTCACTAGTAAAAAGATTTAATTCATAATTAAAGTATTTTCCACCAGGAAATTCTCAGGAAGCATCAAAAAGTGGACGAGCAGCTAACACTTCTCAGCTCATTGTATGAGACTAGTATTACTCTGATACCAAAATCAGACAATATCGTGAGAAAACTGTAGACCAATGTGTTCTGAGTATAAATGCAAAAATTCTCAACAAAACACTAGCAGATCGCATCCAGCAACGCATAAAATGAATTATATACCACAAACAAGTGGGATTTATCCCAGGAATGCAGGTTGGTTTAAAATGCAAATATCAATTAATGTAATATATGATCTTGATTGAATAAAAGAGAAAAAAAGTCACATGATCAGCTTATTAGACAAAGTAAAAACATTTGACAAAATCTAATACCCTTTCATGGTAAAAATACTCCACAAACTATGAATAGAAGGGAACTTCCTTAATTTGATAAAGCCTGTCTATGAAAACTCATACTAACATCATACTTAATGGTAAAAGACTGAACACATTGTCTCTAAGATCAGGAACAAAACAGGGTGTTCTCACCACTTCTAGTAGAGGTTCTAGCTAGGGCAATTAAAGAAGAAAAGGAAATGAAAAATGTTCAGACTGGAAAGGAAAAGGTAAAACTACCACTTTTTGCAGATGTCATGATCTTATATATAGAAAATCCTAAGGGATCCACTAAAAACTATTAGAAGAAATAAATGAATTCATCAAGGTTGCAATATGCAAGAGTCATAAATAAAAATCAATTGTATTTTTATACACTAGCTCTTATGGGTTGAGTTGTGTCCCCCAAAAAGGTATGTTGAAGCTTTCACCTCCCAGTGCCTCAGAATGAACATATTTGGAAATACGTCATTGTAGATGTAATTAGTTAAGATGAAGTCATACTGGGGTGGGATGGGCCCTTAATCCAATATGACTGATATCCTTACAGTAATTGGAGAAGACAGATACACACAGAAGGAAGGCAGCCATGGAGGCAGAGATTGGAATTATGCTGCCACAATCCAAAGACTGTCAGGGACTACTAGAAGCTGGAAGAGGCAAGGAAGGATCCTCCTCTAGCGGTTTCAGAGGGAACATGGCCTTACCAACACCTTAATTTTAGATTTATAGGCTCCAGAGTAAATTTAAGTGACCCGGATTGTGATACTTTGTTACAACAGCCCTAGGAAGCTAATAAACTAGCAATGAACATTCCAAAAATGAAATAAAGAAAACAATTCCATTTACAATAGCACCAAAGAGAATGAGAATGAATTTAGTGCAGGACTTTTACACTGAAAACTACAAAATATCATTGAAAAAACTTAAGACCTAAATAAACAAATAGACTTCCCATCTTCATGAACTGTTAGACTTAAGATGGCAGTACTCCCCAAGGTGATTTATAGATTCAGTGTAATCTCTATCAAAATTCCAGCTTTCTTTTTGCAAGAATTGACAAGCTGATCCTGAAATTCATGTGGAAATATAAGGAATCCAGAATAGCCAAAGAAATCTTAAGAAGAAGAACAAAGTTGGAGGACTCACACTTAATTGATTTTAAAACTTAATACAAAACTATAGTAATCAAGACAATGTGGTATTGGCATGAAGATAGACCTGTATAGATCAATGGAATAGATGAAAGTCCAGAAATAAACCCTTACGTTTATGGTCAATTGATTTTCAACAGGGAGACCAAGACAATTAAATGGGGGAAAGAATAGTCTTTTTAACAATTGGTACTTGCACAGCTGGATATCCATACGCAAAAGAATAAAGTTAGATCTTTTCTTCATGCCATGCACTAAAGTTAACTCAAAATTATCAAAGACCTAAATTTAAGAACTTTAGTTCTAAGAACTGTAAACCTCTTAGAAGAAACACAGGAGTAAATCTTTGTGACCTTGAGTTAGGCAATGGTTTCTTAAGATGCCAAAAGCAAAACCAGCAAAAGAAAAAAAATAGATAAATTGAACTTCATAAAAATCAAAAACTTTTGTACTGCAAATGATACTATCAAAAGTGTGAAAAGACAGCTCATAGAATATGAAAACTATTCACAAATCATATATCTGATAAGAGACTTGTATCCAGAATACATAGAGAACTCTTATATCTCAGTAATAAAAAGATAAATAACCCAATTAAATAATGGGCCGGGGCTGGCCTGGTGGTGTGGTAGTTGGGTTCCCGCGCTCTGCTTTAGTGGCCCGGGGATCACAGGTTCAGATCTCGGGCACAGACCTACACACTGCTCATCAAGCCGTGCTGTGGCAGCGTTCCACATACAAAATAGAGGAGGATTGGCATGGATGTTAGCTCAGGGCCAATCTTCCTCAAGCAAAAAGAGGAAGATTGGCAACAGATGTTAGCTCAGTGCCAGTCTTTCTCACCGAAAAAAAAAAAAGGGCAAATAATCTGAATAGACATTTTCACAAACAAGATATGCAAATGGTCAATAAGTAAATGAAAAAATGCTCAACGTGGTTAATCATTAGGGAATTGAAAATCAAGACTACAATGATATATCACTTCACACCTACAAGGATGGCTATAATAAAAAAGACAGACAATAACAATTATTGGCAAGGATGTAGAGAAATTGGGACCCTCATACATTGCTGGTGAGAATTTAAACGGTACATCTTCTATGGAAATCAGTTTGTCAGTTTCTCAAAATATTAAATATAGAGTTAACATATAATCCAGAAATTCTATTCCTACGTTTATACCTGAGAGAAATGAAAGCATATGTTTACACAAAAACTCGTACATGGATGTTCAGAGTAGCAGTATTCATAAAGCCAAAAAATAGAATCAATCCAAATGTCCATAAACTGATGAATGGATAAATAAAATGTGTATATCCATACAATGGAATATTATTTGGCAATGAAAAGGAACAAAGCACTGAAACTTGCTACAACAGGGATGAACCTTGAAAACGTTATTCTAAGTATAATAAACCAGTTGCAAAAGATCACATATTGTATAATTGTATTTATATGAAATATCTGCAATAGGCAAATCTATAGAGACAGAAAGTAGATTAGTGGCTGCCAGGGCTGGGACAGTGCTGGGGAGTGACTGCTAATGGGTACAGAGTTTCTGTTTGGGGTAATTAAAATGTACTAAAATTAGACAGTGGTAATAGCTGCTCAACTTGGTGACTATATTAAAAGCCATTGAATTGTATACTTTAAATGAGTGAATTGTATGGTATGTTAATTATATTTTAGTAGAGCTTTAAAAATTTTGATTATAATAAATAAACAACTCATTTGTCAAGAAAAAATCTATAGTTTATCCATACTATGGAACACTAGTTAGCAAACTGCAGCCCATGAGTCAAATCTAGCCACGCCCACTCATTTCCCTGTCATCTGTAGCTGCTTTTGCAGAGTTGAGTAGTAGTGACAGAGATCATCTGGCCTGCAAAGTCTAAAATATTTACTATCTTGCTCTTTACAGAAAAAGTTTGCCAAATCCTGCTGTGGAATAAGAAGTGGTATTTAAAAGGGGTGAGATAGATCTATGTTTACCGATATAAATAGATCTCAGACATCATATTAAAGTGAAAAAAATAACTTAAGAACAATATATGCAGTGATATCATTTATGTGAAAAAGCAAACAAAACAGACATCCAACCCACTAACAAAACTGTAGAATCGAATAGGTACATGCAGTATTATATAAATGCATGGAACAAATTCTGGAAAGACAATAGCAATCTAATAATATATCTGGGGAAAGCATTGGATTTTTGGAGTGGTGGTCAAAGTGTACTCTAATCTTGTTTTATTTTAAATTTTTTACAAAGAAATGTATAAGTGTGTTACATAAATAAAAATATAAATGTAAAATTATAATACATTTGTTTTTCAGAGCTATGAATGATCAACGTTTGTTAGAGGCTGTAAGTATAGCACTCTCAGTTTGAAATTACACTTTGCCCTTGATGATGTTATTAGATTCTAGAAGTTGTTAGGATACATAATCTTAAATAAAGATTCAATGCTTACTCATTTTATTCAGGAGATTTCTGTGCTTATGTGAGCTAGAGAACTTTGTCTATTTTTTTGCTTTTACTGGACTTTATTATCACTCAGAAACACTCCACTTCTGAAATATTGAACTATAATATTGCACAGTCTTCTAAACTTCCATTCATTCTCACTTCTAGTTCCTTGGCCTTTTTCAGACCCAGTTATAGCTTCACTATACAAATTAATCCCCATGGTTCATTATTTTCATGAGTTAATGAAGACTTTCTTACTTTAATAATTAGGTACCCAAATAACTTGTCTATATTGAGACATTTACTTTTCATTATTACTAAAATTATAATATTTGTTTTTAGAAATACAAACAGATGCAAAGGGATTTCCAAGTGTTATCAGAGGAGAAATTGGTGCTGGAAAATAAACTACAAAAGTTGAAGGATACAGAGGTTAGTTAAATTTTAGTGTCTGAAAATGGCATACAGTATCTAAAAAGCCTTATTATTTTAGGATAGGAATCAAAGATATTTAAATGTTTTATAATACATTTTCAGTATTAATAATTGATAGCAGCTGTGCTTTAAAAAATAAAATAATGCTATATTCTAAATTACAGTATTGGCTATCAAAACCAAGAGGATGCTATGAAGAACAGACATAAAATTTAAACATTACAAAAGACATTTCTAGGCCAAATATTTAACTTTATTAAAATATCAATAAATTAGGGTTTTCAAATATATTTTAAATACACTTTATTGTATTCTTTGCAATTATGTAATGTGTGTGTCCCAGTTCACTATATCAAATAGAGTGTGTAGAAATACCAAGAATAAAATTTGTTTCCTTTTTTCTTTCTCCCTTGCCATTTTATATAGCTAATAAATTTCAAACTACAGACGACAAAGTCAAATGAATTAGAAGTGAATTTTTATTAACCATGTAAAAACATAGGATGTATGTTTCAATGTAAGATCAACATAAAATGAAGGAAAATACTCTTGAATCTACTAATGTTGATTACTTGATATTTCTTCCTTACTAGAGGAGGAAGCAGAAGTATTACTAGGAACTTTGTTGCTTAATCAGTTAGAGAAGCAGTGATCCTACACAGATGTCAAATATAAGATGGGGGCTGTCACATATGTTCAATTAGGAATAGTTCCATTTAGGTATAGTTCCAAGTAGGAATAGACAATTAAAAAATAAAATAAATAAGAGTAGTAAATTGTCATATTAAATAACTGAATAGTCTGGCCAAATGTAAGAATTTTTTTTTTTTTTTTAAGCATGCACCGTTAGATCCATATTCAAAAATTTTGGAGCTTCTTAGATGATTTGAAGATGTCTCAGCAGTTTCTGGTTTTGCTTTCTTGTATTGTTTCTTTAGGTTTTGTGTCTCTAACCCACAATTATTCTGCTCTAGAGTGCAATGATTTTTGCATGGGCTTCTTCAATATATGGTCTGTGGTACAACATGATTTTCTTGTCTGATCTGTAGAAACTTCGGTGCTCATTTGATAGATTATACCTCTTATCCATTCTTGTCTCAGCTCCTGCACATCATTACTGCTTCACTCCTCAATTAATTTTAGAATATTTTAAAGTCCAGTGGTCACATTTCCAATACTTTACATGTGTGAAATGTAATCAATGAATGGCTGACCTTAACTTCTGTCCTTGGAAATTACTTGTAGCATTTCTGATCATTGTGTGGAAGAGTGAAGGAGAAATGTGCAAGGAGCACTACATATATAGTACTAATATTATATCCACACTATGGTAGTGACCAAGAGATCTGAGAGACAGTCTGTTTTTAGAGAAGGGAGTTGGTGTAATAGGATGGTGGGAAGAGGATGTCTATAGAATTATGTCAAACTCAGGATTTCTGCTAACAGATATTTCAATTTTCTTTCAAAGTAGGCTTTCCTAACTTAATTCTCCTTAATAATTTTATTTTTGTAGACAACCAATTTTAATAATCAAAAGCCACATTTGAGTCCTATCTTTGACTGGCAAATGATAATCAGTAGTTTTCTGTGTGTCAGTCATTTTCAGTTAAGGATTTTATTTTCTTTTTTTGTAAGCAGGAGAAACTGCAAGTTTCTTGCAACTAAAGCAAGAAATTGATTGGATGGGTATTAGAGTAACTCAAAGAACTGAAGGAAAATTGAACAATGTGTTTGGTGAGGGATAGAACTAGGGCAACTCCTGGAGTCAAAACAACAAAAGTTCATATACAGCCGTTACTTCTGTCCTTTCAGGGAATTTTTAGAGAGGGAGCTATGGCTATTTTTTTCCCTATCTCCAATTTTTTCCCTTCCATAAAAGTCAGTTCTTAGGTGATTGGATCTGATTGGTCTTGCTTAGGTCAAATGTTATCAGAACAGTTTGAGATGAGGGAGGTGTGGAACCCTAATAAAATGTGGTGCTATTTCTTAACAAAAGAGAAAAGGATACTGGACCCAAATATCTGGTGTCCACTGTACTTTGCTAATATTTCCCTAATTACTATCATATCCATTTAATTATTCCAGATATCAGGAAACTTTTACTGTAAAGGGTTAGATAAGTATTTTAGGTTTTGCAGGCCATACAGTACATGTTGCAGCTACTCAAGTCTGCTTCTGTAGTATGAAAATTGCCATAGAAAGTACATAAATGAAGGATCACGGCTGTCTTGCAATAAAACTTTATTTACAAAAACAGGAAGCAGGGAAGATTTGGCCTGCAGTTTGCTGACTCCTTATTTATTCCATTTCTGCTATCACCTGGCTTTCTATTACAGCTCCCTAAATAGGATCTCCTAGATGTGTATGTTTTCGTACGCTATTGCTGGAAAATATCACTGCTTAAAGAAGATTGTTTCTGCTCTTTCTGTTCTCTTCCACTGGCCTTGTCTGTTCCTACGCCAATGCCTGAGATCCTTAATGATTATGGATTTAGAATAAGTCCCGATATTTTGTAGGACACGTCAACCCCTTGTTACTTATAAAATTTATTTATTTTTCGCCTTTGAACTTTCATATATATTTTAGAGTTAACTTGTCAAATTCTACAATTGCACTGAATCTGTACATCAAATTAGAGAGATTTACATCTAGGATATCAGGATATATCTTTTTGTTTATAAACATTAAATATGTCCATTTTTGAAATTTTTCTTTAATGCTTACAATAAATGTTTATGATTTTCTTCATAAAGCTCTTATTCATTTTGTTACTCTTAAGTGCTTCATATTTTTATGCTATTTTATTTGCTATCTTTTAAAAGATATTTTTTAACTATTGCTAGAGAAGTATAATAGATTTTTATATATTGAATTATGCATCCAGAAACCTAGCTACACTGTTGTAATGATTAGATTTTTAATTCCTACTTGTATAATCAAAGTATCAATGAATAATGATAGCCTAAATTTTCTTGCTTTCCAATTTGTAATACTTTCTATTTCTTTTTCTTGCCTTACTGTGCTGGCAAAGACTTTTAGAATAACATTGAATAGATGTGATGAGAGTGGGCATTTTTTGTTTGTTCCTGCTTTTAAAGAGAATGTTTTCTTGTTTCTTGTGGTCAGTCAGCCTGCCTCTCTCTCCCTTTCCTTGTCCCTCTCTTGATACCATTTATCAGGTTAAGGGATTTTTCTTCTTTTAATAATTTGCTAAATATTTTTTTCATGCTTCATAAAATTCTTCCAACCTCTGCCCACTGCCCAATTCTGAAGGCACTTCCACATTTTTAGTTGTAGGTTACAACAGCACCCACTTCCAAGTGTCAAAATCTGTCTTACCTTTGTGTTTGCTGCTCAATTGGTTGCTTTACAATAAAGGGTTTACAGTCTTGTCTTTAACTTGTTACAGTCTATAGTCAAGTGATATTAAATCACTTCACATATAAGAACCTTAAAATAATATGCCTGCATTTGTCCCTTTCCAGCTCTTGTGCTGTTGTTTTCACATGTTTTATTACATATGATATAAACTGTACAACATATTGTTATTAGTTTTTCTGTAAACTATTACTTTTTAAAGAGATTTAAATAACAAGAAAAACAGTCATGATATTTGCCCACATAATTATCATTTCTGGTGCTCTTTTTAATTCGTGTATTTCCTTATTTCCATCTGGTATGATTTTTCTTCTGCTTGAAGGATTCTTTACCATTTTTGTTCTGCAGGCCTGCTGCTGATATATTCTTTTAACTCTTTGATTTCTGAAAAGAAATTTTTTTGCCTTCAGTTTTGAAAACTATTTTTTCTGGATGAAGAATTCTAGGTTGACTGGTTATTTTCCATTCCAGTACTTTAAAATTATTGCTCCTTTTGTCTTCTGGCTTGCATTGTTTCTGACAAGAGTCTGCTGTCCTTCTTATTCTTGTATGTAATCTGCTTTTCTCTTCTGTCTGCTTTTAAGATTTTCTCTTTATCACTGCTTTTAATAGTTTGATTATGATGTATCTTGGGGTAGTTTTCTTTATCTTGTTGTGGATTTGTGGGTATACAGTTTTCATCAGATTTGAAAAAAACTGGCCATGATTTCTTCAAATATTTATTCTTTTTCACCACCCCTTCTCTCCATCATGTACTCCAATTATAAGCATATTAGTTGACTTAAAGTTGTCCCACAGCTCACTGATGATCTGTTCGTTATTTTTGTCTTTTTTTCTCTTTCATTATTTTAGTGTTTGTTGATTGCCAGTATATATTAGATTTTTCTATATAGGAAACATATCAAAAAACTCATATTTAAACTAGAAAGTTATTTAGAGACCTTAACAGTTCTCATAGAAATTCATTATTATACTTATTTTCCATATTTTATGAGGAATTATTACACTTTGTGTTTCACTTGTGAGATTTTGCCACTGCAGTGAATTTGGTATCTGTTGGAAGTTGTGGTCTGACACAGGAAATAACCATCTAATGCATAAATAGGTCTCTATTATTAAGCTCATCTAAAAATGTGAATAATCTAATTAATTTGTTTCTCTACTTTCTTATATAAAATAATCTGGTACTACATAGTAGTTCAAGAATAACTTAAAACGTGGTTAGTTCTGCTATAATATTTGTTTTGAAATGCAAATTTGTTCCAACATGATAGCACAATTTAAGCATAATGTGGATTTTACATTTACATTTGTTTATGCACAATTTCATCTGCAAAAAGTACTAGGTGAAGGCAGAAGATAGTTTCTACAAGCTACCTTGGTTCACCATGTGTAGTGTACTGTACCAGTCCGCATCTGGTGTTACAACTTTTTATCCAATTTCAGATAACCCTCCTTCCAATACTGCATGATAACTTACAAGTTGCAACCTATTCAATGCCCACTTCCACAAGCAAGCTTCATGTCTTTTTCAAGATAAAGAGCTATATTTCTCATAGTATATATTTCATAATCATTTAGCTGTATAAAACTGGACTAATGTTTTTATTGAGCTTCTATTTTTTTAATGTCTCATTGACAATGTTTTTGCATGCTGTGCACCTAACCCCATTTTTCCCATATATATTTCAATTTTTTTTGCATGGTTTCTGTAGTGAGGTGATTTTGAAGAAGGCATATGCTGTGTTATAGCAGAACTGGCTGTAATTTGTCAAGGGAGTTTAATTGTTTTGAAATGTATTAGCTTATATATTACTTATATTCACTAAAGCACTATAACAAATGTTCTGACTATATCATTAATTTTGTTTTGCTTCTATTCAGATAAATTTTCATTGAAACATAGTATAGTGATTCTCAAAGTAAAATGGAAATGTTAGTAATGTATATTATCATATATTCCCCTATAATTTATTGTCTCCTTAACTATTTATTTCTGGCTTATATAAAATTATACAGAAAATAAAGCCTACATATGATCGAACAAGGAAAACTATAAAAATGGAGAAGAAAAAAGACAGAGGAAAATCTGAGGATTCAGAAGAGTAAGACATAAAGATACATGTCAATATTTTTTCCTTGTTCAACATTTATATTGTCACTTTATATAAACAATTTGAGGTCATATAGACATAACTTGTTAACAGGTTTCTAAAAAAGATAACATTAGCTAATATATAGTTTTATAAGCAGACTGGGATATGATTGTGGGAGAAAGCTGAGAAGGGAAGAACAAAGAACTTAGAGTGGGTTAGAGGAGGAGAATGAACTACAAGATATTCAGGAATAGGTAAACAGAATCAAATCTGTAAATAATTTTAGGGGAAAAAGGATTTACATTGTTTCCTTGATGGTCTAGCTAATGATCTGTAGTGTTTATGTTAACGCCCCGGTCTTTCTTTTTTTACTTTATATTTTATAAAAACAATGATCTATTTTTATGTATATGGATTATTGTAAAGTGGCCTTATTAAGTGAATATTTTCTTTAGTAATATAAGATAATTTTTGCATTTGGAATTTGCTTGGTCAAATCCTAATATAAATATATAGTTTAAAAAGAAAGTATGAATTCAACTTTTATAGACTTCCACAAATTCTGAAAAGAAATTCTTTGGACAAATGGCCTTGACCTTTGACTTAGAGAAGAAAAGATGACCAGAGTAGAAAAAATGACCAACGTACTTTGAAAATTCTTGCTCCATCTCATCTTTCCATATTTTAATCATATCATTGAGAAGTTAGCTTGAGAAATGTTATTCAATTATCTATCATTTAACCTATGTGGATTTTATGACTTTTAAAAATCATGAATTTCTTTTGAAAAATTTTATTTCTTTAAAATGGTTTAAGTACTCCTCAAGAAAGAAAAGTAGTCGTGTAATTTAAAATATAATGATATATTTAAAAACAATTTTAATTACAGGAAGGAGTCTCCAGTCCAAGAGCTTAAAATAGAAGAGGATTTGCTTCAAGTCCAGGTAACACACACTCTCTCTATGTATCTAAATGTGATTAATAAGTTCTCTGAGAATTATATGTATAGACAACATTAGTGTGTATGTGAATAGAGGGGTGTGTGTGTGTATGTACTAAAGTTCTTCCTAAGCTATTTCTTGTTGGTCAACTTTTCTCAGCAAGTTTCAGAAAATAAAATGGTAAATCCAGGCATGTTTACTGTCAAGGTTATGAAAATTACCATGGTTTACTCAACTATAGGCAGTATCATGGAGGAAAAAACATCATATTGGAAGTCAGAACAAGGACTTACTAGTTATGTGACATTGAACAAGTCCCTTTAACCTGCTTGAACTTCCTATTTTCTTTCTCTAAAATGGGTAAAACAATAGCTTTCGTATCTATCTCAAAAAGGTATAAGAAGTGTAAGAAGCAAGTAAGAAAAAGTTCTTCAGAAATTGTAAACTGTATAGCCCACTCTTTTTTGTGTGAGCCAATGAAAGGAATACAAGTGACCCTTTATTTCATCTTGGCTTTGGAATACTTTCTTTTGCTACAAGTTAACTTCTTAGTAACCATCCGAGTTCATCACCCATTTCAGTGAGTGGCTGGAGTTGTGTCCCACAAGTATGCGCCTGAATGATTCAAGAATCAGATAACATGAATTTGGGAAGAAAATGAGAGTACCACTGGAGATATTGAATGTAAAATGTACAACTTTGTGGTATTAGTTTTCTATTCCTGAGTAACAAGTTACCACAAATTGTGCAGCTTTAAACAACTTATACTATTTCACAGTTTGCTTGGGTTAGGGGTCTGAACATGGCTTAGCTGTGTCCTATGCTCAAGGTCTCATCAAGCTGCAATCAAGGTGTTGGCTAGGCTTTATTCCGTTCTGTAACTTGGAGTCCTCTTCCAAGCTCAAGTGGATGTGGCAAACCTCAGTTCCTTGCAGTAATAGGACTGAGGCTCTCAGCCATGTGGTCTTCTCTATAGGCAGTTTATACCAGAGCAGCTTGCTTATTCTTGCCAGCCAAGAGTCTCTCTTGTATGCTACGACAGAGTCTTACATAATGCAACATGATCATGGGAGTGACATCTCCTTGCTTTAGATACATACTGCAATCTAGTAAAGGGGGTCGCATCTCATCACTTTGCTGTATTCTGTTGGCTAGAAGCAAGTCACAGGTCCCACCCACACTCAAAGGGAGTAGGTTATAGGGATGGAGATCATGGAGGCCATCTTAGAATTCTGCCTACCACATTTACCAGCTAATTTTATATAAAACAGCATTTTGTATATTTTAAAAATTCATTATAATACCATTATATTATTAATATTAGAAATATTAGAAATCTTTAAGCTAGTGTTTTAGTTTATTTGGGCTGTGTCTTAGTCCGTTCAGATTCTTCTAATAAAATATCAGGGACTGAGTAGCTTATAAACAACAGAAATTTATTTCTCAAAATTCTGGGGGCAAGAAGTTCAAAATTAGGGTGTCAGCATGGTGGGGGGAGGGCCTCTTTTGGGTTGCAGACTTCTTGTTGTGTTCTCACATGGCAGAAAAGGCAAGGGAGCTCTTTGGAGTCTTTTTTTTTTTTAAATAAGAGCACTAATCCCATTCATGAGAGTACCGCTGTCATGAACTAATCACCTCCCAAAGGCCCCACCTCCAAATACCATCACAGTGGGGATTAGGTTTCAGTTATGAATTTCTTGGGGACACAAACGTTTAGTCTGTAGCAGCTAGTATGATTTTAAATTATTTTTTCTGAATTGAAAGTCAAAATTTTCTGTGTAGGTATATTTTTTTCTGGAGAAGCTCTATAGATTCAATGAGAATTTCAATGGAATTTATCTCCCTCCTCCAAAACTCTATTATGAACCATCGCTTATCTAGGCCATTTTACAGAGATCAATAAAAGCTAAAAAGTAACTTGCTTAGGATTATAGAACAAATTGGTAGTGAAATCTGAACTGCAAACATGGCTCTCTGAATCCTGCTCAGCGTTTGCAGTTAGTGAAAATATGTTCAGTTTTGCTTCCTCAGGCAGGCATGGATAATAGAATCAGTTGGAATTATTATCTATCTGTTCAAGTAATTATATGCTTATAAAATGTGTTAATGTAATAAAAACTTTTGGTTTTTAAAAGTACCTAGTTTTTTTTTATTAGTTGTTCAGTTTTTAGAAGATCATTATTCCAGTAATTATTATAACATTCATTTAAAGTGTGTATATAAAATAATCCATTTGGACCCAAGGCTGCCCTTATGTTGTACAGATTGTGTGTTGAACAAGCGAATGGGCTAAGGGATAAGTTATTGTTGAAATCTAGCCCATAGTTTACTTGCCAGCTGTTCACCCTGGCATATGGCTGCATTTGCCTGAATGAAGTGTTCTTTTTCTTATTCGTCAAAGACACTGTATGGACTGGCAGTTAGTAGCCAGAATTGTACTTAACAAAATCATGCTTAGGTAAAATGATATAAAATATTTTGTTATTCTATTAAATTTGATTTTCAGATTATTTAGATTATTATCTGATTATTTCAGATGTTTGTTAGAAAAATAGAGTGCATTTACTCTAGGCAAGTATCTACTAAGTGGATGATTGGCAGCTTAACATATGGATATAAGAAAGGGCAAATGTATTTTTTGTAACCTAAAATTATAGAAAATGAAAATATTTTACATATTTTAATTTTTTGTGAGTCAAATCATGTACATCATATTTTTGTACGCTGGTGGTAATTACTATCATTCATTCTATTTTTAGAAGAGGCAACTCAGAGTTGTTAACTAACTTGACCAGATTTGCAGGGTTATCAGATGCACTCTGGTTGGACTGGATAGCCCAAGGATCATCTCTATTTGTAGGTGGGGCTAAAATGACTAAAAGCATAAATTCAAATGTGATCTCCCCATTGACTGTTTCTTTTCAAGGAGCATCACCTTTCTAAAGTTACAGAAACTTAGTTTCTTTCATGCATAGTGCCAAGAACTCTTTGTCTTTCTGTTAAAACTACTTACTACTTACTCCTGGATATGAAGATCCTAATACAAATATAAACAGCAATTGTATTGCATTCTATATGTACTTGAATAAAATTGTTGCATATAACATAATATAGGAGGTACAGAATCGATAAGGAAATATTAAATTTGTTTTTTCTGAATTTAAGGTCTTTAAAGAATTTCTTTCATTGAGATATAATTGACATATAACACTATATTAGTTTCGAAGCCGAAATAAATTATGTTAGCACATGCTGGAGACATAATGTCTCCAATTGATTCCGACTATTTAGAAATAACAATATGTGGAAAGACAAAGACTTGAGGGTACAAAGGCTATTTAGGGAGATTCAAGTGCTTGAGTATGATAGGAGTTTTGGATTAAGGAGAGGAGTAGTAGGAAGCCTTATAAGGGCCATGTGTGGATGGCATTAGTAGTTTGGATTTTGAGTAAGAAATGAGGACTTATTGAAGAATATTAAGAATGATCCACTTGGTATTTTTTATTAAGATCATTCTGCCAAGAATAATCATGAATTTTGGGGTAGAGATTGAATTTTGCAGTAGGGGAGAACAATTAGAGAGTTTTTGCAATAATTTAACTCAGTGATAATCAAACTAGTTAATTATAAGTTACATGAATTTTTTAAGGTAGAATTGTAAAAAGTATTTCTTGTAATCTGAATTTTACTGTTGCCAAATGGGAAGACTTAATTTTATGAAAGTATTGATCTGTTCAAATTAATATAATAAATGTAATGCATTTCTAATCAGAACTCAAAAAGGACTTTTAAATAAAATTTTATTGAGGTATTATTAGTTTATAACATTGAGAAATTTCAGTTGTACATTATTATTTCTCAGTCACCATATGTATGTGCCCCTTTACCCCTTATGCCCGCTCCCCAAGTCCTTTCCTCTCTGGTAACCACTAACCTGTTCTATTTGTCCATGAGTTTCTTTATCTTTCACATATGAGTGAAATCATGCGGTGCTTATTTCTCTCTGGCTTATTTTGCTTAACATAATACCCTCAGGGTCCGTCTATGTTGTTGCAATTGGGAGAATTTTGTCTTTCTTTATGGCTTGAGTAGTATTCCATTGTATATATATACCACATCTTTTTTATCCATTCATCTGTTGATGGGCACTTGGGTTGCTTCCATGTCTCGGCTATTGTGAATAGTGCTGCAATGAACATAGAGGTGCATAAGTCTCTTTGAATTGTTGATTTCAAGTTCTTTGGATAAATACAGAGTCATGGGATAGCTGGGTAATATGGTGTTTCTATTTTTAATTTTTTGAGAAATCTCCATAATGTTTTCCATAGTGGCTGCACCAGTTTGCATTCCTACCAGTAGTGTATGAGAGTTCCCCTTTCGCCACATTTTCTCCAACATTTGTTGTTTTTTGTCTTGGTAATTGTAGCCATTCTAACAGGTGTGAGGTGATAGTTCATTGTAGTTTTGATTTGCATTTCCCTAATGATTAGTGATATTGAACATCTTTTCATGTGCCTATTGGCCATCTTTATATCTTATTTGGAAAAATGTCTGTTCATATCCTCTGCACACTTTTCTTTTTTGATGAGGATGATTAGCCCTGAGCTAACATCTGTTGCCAATCCTCCTCTTTTTGCTGCGGAATAATGGCCCTGGGCTAACATCCATGCCCATCTTCCCCTACTTTATATGTGGGATGCCCGCCACAGCATGGCTTCATGAGCAGTGCATAGGTCTGCACCCAGGATCCGAACCTGTGAACCCTGGGCCGTCAAAGCAGAGTGTGAGAACTTAACCACTTATGCCACTGGGCCACTCCCCCCTGCACATTTTTTGATTGGGTTGTTTGTTTTTTTATTGTTGACCTTGTATGAGTTCTTTATATATTTTGGAGATTAATCCCTTGTCAGATATATGATTTGCAAATATTTTCTCCTAGTTGGTGGATTGTCTTTTCGTTTTGTTCCTAGTTTCTTTTGCCTTCCAAAAGCTCTTTAGTCTGA